CAGTTCTCCACTGACGTGTTTTGTATACATATGGATATTATCCTATCACTTACAACATTATATTTCAGGATGAATCTAGAGATGTTGACAAAAGAAAAATTGATATCTTTGAGTAGCGGTGCTGGCAAAGAGTACTGAACATAACACGGACTGCTAAGAAAATAGGTCTGCCCTAGAGAGGATGAAACCAAGTTGCTCTCTGGAGGCAAGGATTCTGAAGTTCCATCTCGCACACTTTGGGCATGTTACCAGGAAGGACTAATCTTTGGAGAAAGGCAACATGCTTGGAAGGGTAGAGGGTCAGCACAGGAGAGGAAGACCCTGGATAAGATGGACTGAGACAGTGACAGGGGTAATAGAGGCAGGTGTGACAGTGACAGTGAGATTGGCTCAGGATAGAACAGGATTTGGTGCTATTATGCATATAGGGTTGTTTTGTGTCTCAGGTGACTCGACAACACATAAAAACAACACTAGATCATTACAATAGCACGGTTTAGACAAACTTGGCCCTGGGTCTCCATTGTGCTGGTTATGATGTGATAGACTCTTGTACCATTTAACTTTTGTTTTCTTAGAAATAAGATATAGGTAACATCTTCCTCATAGAACTATTACAAGGATTAAGAAAATGCATGCATATATTGAAAAGGAAAGAAAAAACTGATAGCAGAACTCCCCAAGGAGTGAAATGTCTTTTGATTAGCGACAACTCACCAGAATGAATGGCAAGATCCTCTTTAAAGTATTAAAGAATAAAGATTTGGGCTTATAAACTAAGGTGTGTCCAGATCGTCATGGTTTTTCCCACTGCTTCATATGTATGTGAAAGCTAGACAATGAATAAGGAATAAAGTCCTTGAATTGTGATGTTTGCAAAGAATATTCAATATATCATGGCCTGCAAAAGAACAAGACTATCTGTCTCAGAAACAGTGCAATCAGGGTGCTCTGTAGAAGCAAGGATGGTGAGACTTCATCTCACATACTTTGGGCATGTAGTCAGAGGAAAAGGACATCATGATTGGTTGAGGGTCAGTGAAAGACAGAAAGACCCTCAAGGAGATGGACTGACACAGTGATGGCAATAGACTAAAGCACAGCTGAGATTGTGATGATGTCTGGCATTGGATGGGGGGGGGGTGGCTGAGATCTGTTATACATGCATAACTATGTATGAAGTTAACGCACTGGCACCTAAAAAAAACATTATCCTACAGGGTCATTTTGAGTTGAAACTGACTTGACAGTGGATTTCAGTTTAGTACGTGTGACAAGCTCACCAAAAAACAAAAAACCAACAACAAACAACAAACAAAAAACCCAAAAAAACTCTTGCCATAGAAGTGATGCCAACTCAAACAACCCTATAGGGCAGAGGAAAACTGTTCCCATCAGATTTCTCAAGCTGTGTCCTAACAGAAGCAGACTGCCTCATCTTTTTCCCCCCCTAAGAAAGGGCTATTGTCTTTGTTGATTGCTTTCGAGTTGAGCAAGACTCATAGGGACCCAATGAAAAAGAGGCCTGAAACCCCTCTACAACTATGGACATTTATCAAAGTTTGTAGAGTTTCTGGAGACATGTTGTTTAGGAAGTGGATGCTACTCTTGAACTACAGACCTGTCAGGAGCCCAGGGCATCAGCAATTTGGGGAATTCATTAAAAAAATTAATGATACAAGTGTTATCTGGGAGAAAACGAAACCTCAGAGATACTGGGGAAGAAGCTATGAGGCAGTATTCGTTTGTATTTAAAATCATGTGACAGAGTGACCCTACAGGTTGGAGGGTGTAGGGGAAAGCCAGGCAGCAGACATATAGTTACAGGCTGCCACATTTCCACATGGTTGGCGATTGGTAAATGTTAACACTCCTCCATTACAGAGACCAAATAACAATAGAATAAACTGTTTGCATGCTTCTTACAAAAGACTCGGGAAAGGGAGAATGAATTTTAAAGTTTTAAAACAAATATAATGCTATACTTGATCCAAGAGACTAACCAGGGCTGTGTCTAAAGGAATGAGTTAATGGGAAACTACATGAGGGCTGAGGAAAAGGGCAACTACAGGGAAAACAGATTATTTATTAACTATCACTATTGTCCCACAGCATAATTAAGACCAGTCAAAGCATTGTCATCTTGTAAAGTAAAGCAAAGCGGCGACTTTGAGGAAGGCGCTTGAGCACCTTCTTCGAAGGAACCTAATAGATGGCTTAAAGGCAGCTCAAATTTGAGCCCCTTTTCCCGAGACATCCCAGCAACAAAGGCTGGCAAAACAGAATGAATTAGTATGCCACTTTGTGTTAAGGAAAACAAATGTCTGATAATTAAAACAAAAATGAAAATCTAACAAAAAATCTTTTCTGTTCTTCAAATTATTACCACACTGGAGAAGGAGAGAAAGAAAGCAAAAGCAAGGGGGTGGGGAAAAGTCGTTTCCTTCGTTGGCAACCAGGTGTTGGACCAAAAGCAGCCCCTGCCATCCCCAGGGGAGGTTCTGAGGTTCTGCAAAGGACAGAGTCCTGCAACTAAGGTGGGGGGGAGGGGAAGGCATTATCTGCAGCAGTAACTACTGCACAGGTGCTTGCTTTCGCCCCGTTTCCAAAACCAGAAATCTCTAACATCAGTGTTTGGATAAAATAAAAGGAGTTTTTATCAAACTTCAATTCTCTTTTTTGTACTACTAAGAAGCAGGAATAGTGAAGGGACGCCAGGAATTCACGATGGTTCCCTCCCGCAGATCACTCGCCTCCCAGGTACAGTTGGTTTTACCCAGGGTTTCCTGTTTTACAGAGGTGGTAGCATACCTCCCCCCACTAGAGTAAGCACACCTGGAATGGGAGACCTGACACCCGGCTCTGACCATCCAAGGATGGCTGTGTTCCATCACAAGCATCATCAGCTGGGCCACTTGTTTATGGTGATCTTGCCTACCCGCAGTCAACAGCCACCTCTGCTCGCACCTACCGTGGCTCAAGGGTCCTTGCTACAGTGTGAGGGCAGCCCCAAAGGCAGGCGGACGGAATGCTCCGGGGACCCAGTGCTGCGAGTTGGCAACAGGGCGCAGTGGCCTCCTGCGCGCGGCAGCGGCGCTGTTTGTAAACACGCTGCACGTGTGTTCGCCCTGCCCCATTCGCAGCCTGATCCATGCACCCGGGGATGTACGTGTAGCTTTCACGCGCGCAATTCCTAATCCTCCTGGAATAGAAAGAAGCCTCTTGATCAGCGTAGGGGCCTCCAGGGAAAAGAGCCAATAGCTGGCGAGCTTGTACTGCCCCCTACTGGCCAGCGGAGCAGCCAGCAGCCTGGAGCAGCGAGATCATTAGTAGGACCCGAGCGGCGCTCCCAGAGACGCCGTAGCGGTGGCGAGCGGCGCAGGGCCCCGCCCCACCCTCCCGCTCGGGGGAGTCCCCGCCCCCGGCCGAGGACGCGCTCGCCCGCGCAGCCCCGCCCCTTCGCCGACACAACGCTCCTGCGGGGGCGCGCGCGTGCTCCCTAATCCCCCGCCTTCCGGCTCCGGCGGCCGTGGTCGCCTCTCGCTGCTTGTCTCCTCCGCCGAGCTTCGCGTCTCAGCCTCTCTCGGGACACTCCGTTTGCTCTCGGTGCGGTCCGGTCGCCGTACACACAGGCGGAGAACGATGCCCTAGCCCGCGGGCTGGCGTCCCCTGCGCCAGGCGGGCGCTCGCCCGCTCGTTGGCAGCGGTGGTGACACCCTTGTCGCCGCCGTGCCTGGGACCCGAGCGCCCTCCGCGTGAGGAAAGACGCCCCGCGCTCCGGAGCTCGCCCTGCGGGGAAAGGCCCTCGCTAGCACGACTTGTCTCTGACCTCTTAATTTCGGGAGGTAGGCTATTTAGGGTCCCTCTCTCTTGATTCCAGATAACACGTAATGTTGTTAGCTAGAAGGCATTAATTGGCTCAGCATAGTTGCAGGATGGATAAGGGTAATGCCCCAGTTTCTAATATTGAAGGACTCTTTTTTTCCCTGTTTTCCTATAGGTTTCGGAGGGTCTGAGTTTCAGTACTCAGCGACATCGGGAACAACTTCTGGCCCACCCAGGATCATCCTTTACCGGGATTATTTTAACACACGCCCTTCACTGAGCCTCCTCGCTCCATAGACTGCCTTGGGTCATCATGACCATCAGTGAAGTTTTTCAGGCTTGCTTTTTTCTGATCACGCAGCACCACCTCTTGTCTACCTTTCCTTTTGGTTGTCATACATTAGGTAAAAGTTTGCTACCCGTTCAAGTTACATTTTCTGCTAGACCACTCTGCTAGTTGGACTGCTCACTTCTGCCCAGCTCCTCTTACCTTGCTTGCCTGTGACTGTCACAGCCATTCACCTGAGTAGCCGGTGCTTAGAAGAGCCAGTCTTCCTTACCATGCATTGTCCCACAGATGGAATCAGGGAGTGCGGTGTCAGACTGGACACTGACATCCTCTTGAACCCACTCTAGCATATTTCCCAGAATATTCATTCCCACCTGGGTGTCTGAACCTGCACTGACAACCAAGGAGAATTGAGTGCTCAACAGACCAGTTTTGGGGTTTGGTTTTTTTTGTTTGTTTGTTTGTTTTTTGAGGATAAATAATGATAGATTTAGTAGAAAGTTACATCCCCAAAGGAACAGATCTTCTTCCTTGAAAGGAGATAAGGCCAACAGGCCAGTTTTAGAGAACAGTTTTGGTTAAACTTCTCAACTCCAATGCAGTTTATCAAGATTTTTAAGAAGGAAGACAGACAGATGGTGGAGTTCATTGAAACTTGGCCTTATTGCAAAATAGTTTTTTGCATGTCTTCTGTGGCTGAATTTCATTGTGTGTGATAGAAAACCATACACACTGTAGGCACTAATAAATTCTTAAATTGTAGTTTCATGATTTTAAAACGCTCCTAGCTGTTTTAAAACTGTAAGAAACTCTTATAAACTACGAGAAACACTACCCATATATAGGACTTACAGTGCAAAAGATGGTTCTTAAAAACCTCCATTTTCTGGATTTTTTGGGTTAAGCAACTAAGTTGTTAAATACCTTGTTTAAGTAATTGCCAAAATATCAGATACTTAAAATGTTGGGGAAACGGAAGCGAGTGGTATTGACAATTAAAGACAAACTTGATATTATTAAGAAACTTGAGGAAGGCATCTCTTTCAAAAAACTCTCTGTGGTATATGGGATTGGCGAATCTACAGTTCGTGATATTAAAAAGAACAAAGAAAGGATTATAAACTATGCAAATAGTTCAGATCCTACCAGTGGGGTATCCAAACGTAAATCGATGAAATCATCCACATACGAGGAGCTTGATAGGGTTATGATAGAGTGGTTTAATCAACAGAAAACAGCCGGAATTCCAGTGTCTGGAACAATTTGTGCAAAACAAGCCAAGTTCTTTTTTGATGCTTTGGGAATGGAAGGTGATTTCAATGCATCATCTGGCTGGCTAACTCGGTTTAAACAGCGTCATGGTATTCCAAAAGCTGCTGGTAAAGGAACAAAGTTAAAAGGAGACGAAACTGCTGCCAGTGAATTTTGTGATAACTTTCAGCAATTTATTGAGAAGGAGAATCTACAACCGGAGCAAATTTATGGTGCTGACCAAACTGGGTTGTTCTGGAAATGTCTACCCTCAAGAACATTAGCTTTTGAAACTGAACAAGGTACTTCTGGGTACAGGTCAAGTAGAGAGAGAATCATTATTATGTGTTGTGCAAATGCCACAGGCTTACACAAACTGAATCTTTGTGTTGTGGGGAAAGCAAAAAAACCCCGTGCATTCAAAGGAACTGACCTTTCTAATCTTCCTGTAACTTATTTCAGTCAAAAGGGTGCGTGGATAGAACATTCTGTTTTCAGACAGTGGTTTGAAAAGTACTTCGTGCCGCAGGTACAGAAGCATTTGAAATCCAAGGGGCTTTTGGAAAAAGCAGTGCTGCTTTTGGACTTCCCCCCATTACATCCAGATGAAGAATTGCTGAGTTCTGATGATGGCAGAATAACTGTGAAATATTTGCCACCTAACGTTACAAGTCTAATTCAACCTATGAGCCAGGGAGTTTTAGCCACAGTAAAAAGATACTACCGAGCAGGACTGCTACAGAAGTATATGGATGAAGGAGTTGACCCAAAAATGTTCTGGAAGAACTTGACAGTGTTGGATGCAGTTTATGAAGTATCAAGAGCTTGGAATACAGTAAAATCAAGTACCATAACCAAAGCATGGAAAAAACTTTTCCCTGGCAACGAAGAGAACTCAGGTGTGAATATAGATGAAGGAGCCATTTTAGCAGCTAATTTAGCAACAGTTTTACAGAATACAGAAGATTGTGAACACAGAGATGTTGAAAATGTTGATCAGTGGTTTGACACTCAGAGTAATGACTCAAGCTGTCAGGTCCTAACTGACAATGAAGGTACTAAGGTCCAGGCCAAACCTGCTGAGCAAAAACCTTCCAGTAAGACTAGAAAAACAGAACTAAATTCAGAAAACCACATTAGTCACAAAGCTGCACTTGAATGGACTGAAAATTTACTGGATTATCTAGAACAACAAGATGACATGCTTCTGTCTGATAAATTGGTATTACGGAGACTTCGGACAATAATAAGAAGAAAACAGAAGATCCAAAATACCAAAAACCTTTCATAGTGCTTTTAAATGTTTCATTGTGTAAAAGTCTTTGTGACTCTTTTATCTGCAGTAGAACTTGGATATTTTATCTTAAGGGCTGTCAACACCAAGCCAAATAACATTCTACACATGATCTTAGTTAGGTTTGACTCTTACTTGGATTACTTAAATGACAGCTCTTTGATGTTGACACTAGTAATTGAGCGTTGACATGTAACTTTTCTGTTTACTGTTTCTAATCTGTATTATATTAATTAGATCATAAAGTATCTGAGGTCAGGGATTGTGGGTCTCTTCTGTGCCTGAATTTCACTGTAACAGAAAATCAGTCTTACTGTTGGCACTTAATAAATCCTACTTAAATTGTATTTTTATGACTTTCTGAACTTCAATGTTTAAACTGAAATATAGCGAGGGATAAGTTCCCATGTCCATGCTTTTCCGCTGCTGAAGTATTAAGAGAACTCAGAATATACTTAAACATTTCACTATGACTACAAGAAACTGGAGAAAGTAGTCTTGTTTAAATGTGCCATTTCTATGCCAACATTGATTAGCAGCAGTTCAGATTGACTCTAATAAAGAAAGATAGAATAAGGTTAAAATGTCCCTCAGGAAAGGGCTTTTCCATCTGACCACCTGACCAGAAAATACTCTAGGGGGAGTTTGTTTTTTGTTGTTTTTTTTTTTTTTTTTTTTCACAATTGTAGAGAGAATTCCTCATAATTCAGGGAGAACAGATCTCTAGTCTCAAACCATGTCAGAAGAGGTAAGAGTTAATTTTATTATTTGACATTTTAGTACTCTAATGGCATGAAACCCACTGACATTGTGTTGATTCCAGCTCATACTGACTCTAAGGCTGAATTTTTGTTAGAGGAGACTCCCCTTTTCTCCCATGGAGTACCTAAACCACCAACCTTACAGTAAGCAACGTGACACAAACTCCACCACTGAAGCTCCTTTTAATAGTATCAGTGATTTGTCTTTTTAATAAGCTGCTTGATGTTTCTGTAGCTCTTAAAGCTTTCAAAATAAGTGGCTTCATCTAACACTTTTTTCTATGAAAACTAGCTCAGACTATAGAAGACGCAGTTCATTTGTGGAACCCAAGGAAGACTACAGGGTAGACACTGGAACTCGATCCTGTGTGACCAGGGGCGAGATTCCTAATTAAGACATCTGTGGAACAGGGATCGCACCTACATTACAGTGTTTCTGTGAGGACTAAGTGGGCTCCTGTGGATAGTAAAGGAGCTTGGACATGGCTGAGATCACTAGGGTGATACATGTTTCAATCTGTTTTGATAGGGTTACTTATGTGTCATAGTTGGGGTAAAGTCACCCACCAAATGAGTCGGCAAATGGACTTTTAACAATATGTGGTGTAAAATGTGTGTATGGGTTGAATCATGAATCTTATTTGTTAGTAGAGCTATTGAACATAGGGTCACTATGAGCACATAACAACAGTATGTTAATAATATTAGCATGATTCACTGAGGTTAAAAAGAAGCAAAAAACTTCTTAAAAATTGACAAAAACCCCACACTCAAGCTTATTGCTGTTGAGTCAGAACCTACTCATAGCTTACTGTCTGTCAAGTTTTCAAAGCTATAAATCTTGTAGGATTTCCCCATCTTTTTCTGGAGGAATAGCTGATGGATTGGAACCTCCTGCCTTTGGGTTGAGAGCACGTATTTTTGATGAACTATTATCATATAGCATCAATTAAAAATCAAAGGTTAGAAGAGATGCAGTTTTTGTAATTAGGCTCACTCCATGACATGCAGTAAAAATGCTCTTTTTTAAAAAAAAAAATAAGATTTTAGAATGCTTAGACAGTATTTTCCATAGGTTCTGAGAATTCTTTTAACCTGACATTTTGGGAAAAAATCCACTGTATTTGGAGGAATTATGGATCTAGAGAATTTCTCTTAATATTGGGTGACCCTGGAGTCAACTACAGCTCATAGCATAGCAACTGTAAGAATAACAGATTTGAACCTTGCCCTATCCTATGCCTTCCTCATAATCTCTGATATTCTCTAGCCCATTGTTCTACTTCCATCTTGTTGGGAATGTTCTCATTCCTCTTTGTTGTACATGTATACTTCTCATAGTTATACAAGCCAATCTTGTTGGAAGTTCTTTCTCTGACCCTCCACCCTTCTCAGCAAGATGTCCTTTAACAAGGACTGGCCTCACATGCCCAGAGTATGGAAGAGTCTCACCATCCTTGCATCTAAAGACAACTCTGGTTGCACTTCCTCCAAAATCAACTTGTTTATTCTTTAAGCATGCGATAGTATTCCCAGGATTCTAAAGCACTGATTCTTCTATCATCCTTATTCATTGTCCAACTTTCAGGAGCATGGAAGTAACTGAAAAGACCACAGCTTGAGTCAGGCACACCTTAGACTTTAAACTGGCAATCCTTGCTCTTTAACACTTTGGAGAGATCCTTGACAGCAGATTTTCCAAATGTAACATGTTTTTTTGATTTCTTGACAACTGTTAACATGGTGTTGTTTATGGTCCCTAGTAGGCTTTATAAAACATAAAGTTGCATGACTTCTTGTAGACCAGTGAATTCGGCAACTGGATGAAGGTGATGGTGTCATTATTTGTCATTTGAACAGTGGTTGCATTTTTCATGGTGCTTTTTTAAAAAACATTTTTATTTTACATTGATTTGCATACAAAGTTTGTATACATTATGTATACATGTGTGTGTATATATATATGTGTGTGTGTGTGTGTGTGTATAGTTTCACACATTTCTCTGTTCACATTGTGTTTCATAGTAGTATTCCCATATTCTGTGTTTTATAAAATTAATCACCATTGACTCATGCATAGCATTACCTCACCTTTTCAGGTCCCTACGGGATCTCTGGATCTTTCCTAATTCCTTCATTCTACCCACATAACTCTGTGACCTCAAAAATCCTCCCCCTCTCAACCCTCAAACCTCCTATTCCCTCCCCATCAACAAATTGATGGGTGGAGAAATTGTAGAACGTTAACACGATGGAATACTATGCAACACTCAGGAGCAATGATTTTGAAAAAACACTAACATGGGAGGTTAGAGAGCATTATGCTGAGTGAACTAACTCAGTCTCATAAGGATAAATACTACATATGACCATTATTATAAAAATAGAAGGATAACTAGTAAGATGTATTTACAGTGCTTTTGACTAAAGTAATTTATCAAATTTCCTCTAATTTGATGTTGAAATGATCTAATCTTATACATTATCAAAAATGCCCACATGAATTATGAAATCTAATTCTATGTTATAAAAAAATTTCTCTCCAAATACTATAGTATAGTAGGCTATCTATGAAGATGCCTCCTGGTTATCTTGATTAACTGCGTTCCCTTCCGAGTTGTATCTGCCCAGTTTGAGGAGCACAGATATTTGTGCTCTCATTTGACCTTGTGTACTTTGAAGAAAGTATCTACAATTTGTGATTGTTGTTTTTTCTTCTTGTTGATTGCCTTTGAGTTGAGCATGACTCATAGCAACCCTATGAACAAAAGGCCTGAAGCCCCTCTCCAACTGTTGACATTTATCAGTGTTCATAGAGTTTCCGGAGGCATGTTTAGGAAGTGGATGCCACGCCTGTTTCCAAACCTATCATAGAATGTTATTGGTTGAGTCACCTGTAACGACAACAGCTCTGAACCCTTCCATGTCCTGAGATGGTCTCACTAATTCTGACACACCAACCCCCATCACCTCAGTCACTGTATCAACCCATCTTATCCTGGGTGTCTTCCGTCTGTCCACCCTTCTGAGCATGATGTTCTTCTCCAAGGACCAATCTCTCCTGGCCACGTGCCCCAAGTAAGTGAAGTGTGGCTTCAAAATCCTTGCCTCCGAGGAGAGATTTGGCTACACCTACTCCAAGACAGATTGATCTGTTTTTTTGAAAGTCCTTGATGTGTTCAAGACTCTTCTCCAGCACCACAACTCAAAGGCATCTATTATTCTACCTTCCTTAGTCATTGTCCAACTCTCTGAAGCATAACAAGTAATTAAGAAGACCATATCCTACATTAGGCACACCTTTGTATCTAGACTGACATCATTTCTCTTCTGCATTCTGGAGAGGTCTTTGACAGCAGATTTTCCTAATGTAATTTGTCTTTTGATTTTCTGATTTTCTGCTGGTGTTAAGAGTGTTGATTGTGGATTCGAGCAAGCTGTAATTGCTAACAACCTCAGTCTCTTCTCTGCTATGGTGCTGCCAATTTGGCCCAGTGATGAGAATCTTTGTCTTCTTGATATTGAGCTTTAATCCATATTGAAGATAGTCCTTGACCTTCTGCAGCAAGTACTTCAGGTCTTCTTCAGTTTCAGCAAGCAAGGTTGTATCATCTGCCTATCATATGTTGTTAATGAATCTTCCTGCAATCTTGATGCCACACTCCTCCTCATAAAGCCCTGCTTCCCAAATGATCTGTTCTGCAGATTGAAAAGGTATGGGGACAGGATACATCCCTGGCACACTCCTTTGCTGATTTTTAACCATGCAGTGTTTCCTTGCTCTGTTCTGAGGACTGCTTCTTGGTCCAAGAATAGATTTCATATAAGCATGATCAAGTTTTCTGAGATTCCCATTTTCCTCAAGGTTAGCCACAATTTATTGTGATCCACACTGTCAAATGCCTTTGCAAAGTCAATGAAACACAGATAAACATTTTTCTGGTACTCTCTGCTTTTTGCCAAGATCCATCTGATATTGGCAGTAATATCCCTAGTGCCACAACCTCTTCTACACTCAGCATGTATTTCTATTTGTTCTCTGTCAATGTACTGTTCAAGTCTTTTCTGGATAATCTTCAGCAGGGTTTTTCTAGTGTGTGATATTAGTGATATTATTAGATAATTTCCACACTGTCTTGTCATCTTTTTTGGAATGGGAATAAATATGGATCTCTTCCAGTCAGTTAGCCAAGTAGTTGTCCTCCCAATTTCTTGGCACAACTTGGAATTTACAAAAGTCATTATTTTTCAAAGGGTTTGAGAGGGTTAAAAGAATTCAGACTAAATGTTGTTGTTGTTGCTGTTGATTGCTTTCTAGTCGAGCACAACTCATAATGACCCTATGTCTTATATCTAAGGACCAGTCTCTCCTAGCCACATGCTCAAAGTATGTGAGATGGAGCTTCAAAGTACTAGCCTCCAAGGAGAGACTTGGTTTCACCCTCTCCAAGATGACCAATTTATTTTCTTGGAAGTCCATGGTGTGTTCGAGACTTTTCTCAGCACCACAACTTGAAGGCATCAGGTTTTCTTCAATCAAGTGAAAATTAAGGGAATTCTTCTGTAATTTTAGGAAACCAGAAACAAAAAATA